GTGCCTGGAAGTGTCATGGAGATGGATGTGCTGAAATGCCACCTCCCGTGCTGCCGAGGCTGCTGCTTCTTCTGTGCCCCACGCAGCTTGCCGAATGCACGCTTTGGGGCTCCTGGCTCTGTCGCCTCTGCTATTGCCTGGGCTGGATGGGTAAGTCCATACAGCCCTGCAGCGTGGGTTTTTACAACTGGTTTTCAAGAACAGGCACACAGGAGTAAGTTTTTATGGGGCAATGCCAACTTGGCAGCTTAGCCATCACTCAGAGCAGCCTGCTTGCAAGATAGCTGTGTCCTAGTTCTGTGCAGTTGTATACAGGACTTATAAAAGAGCAAGTGGGCTTTGTCTGGTTCCAAGTGCCCTCCAGTACAGAGGAAGAGCTGGCAGGAACTGGAAATACAGGTGTTTTCCTATTTCCTTCACAGAAGAATCTTCATGTCTGTGTAGTTACTCAGCAGTAGCTGTCTGTCACATTCCACTCACTGAGTTGCTGTATGGACAAATGTGAAGTTGGGGAAGCTCCGCTTGCCATCTATAAAACTTAGTAAATTGTTTCTTTGAACAGAATGAAGCCTTGAGCTTGTTTTTAGCCCAGAATAGCTATTCCTTACTGCCTGGAAAACACAATTTACCCTGACAAAAAGCGTAGGCAAAGATGAGCTGCCACCTGCTGGCTCTGTAAGGCTTTGGGCTAGGGAATGCTGGTTTTCTGGGCAGGAGAACCTGGTTTGAGTACCCTAGCCCAGGCTGGAGATTTGGAAGGCTCAGGTGGGCTCTTGCGAGCTTTCTGCTAAGAAAAGCAGGATTGGGTTGTTCAGCAGAGGTATCATACGGTGTTACAAAACCATCCTAAGGAACTTGCCAGGATTATGGTAATATTTATATTTTCTCATGTTTGTCCTAGCTTTGGTAAATAAAGATAGCTCTTTCAAGTGCAGCACATTCTTCATAAACAGTTCTGTATAATCTTGCACACTGGAAAATAAAATTGTTGCTGTCATAGGGGTTCCCTGGGGAAGGGCTCAGATTAGGTTCCTCCAAGCAGCTGGGATGGTCTGGGGCCCTGACTGGTGCAGGAATGAAATGCTGACAGCCCTGTGAACCCCCCTGCTCCAGACCGGGTTCACCCAGAGGCTGGGTGGAAGGAGGCTGCGAAGGAACAAATGAGATTAAAGTGAACTCTGTGAACGTGCTGGCCAAAACCGGCTTGGTTTGTTTTTCATGATGTCACTTCTATTTTAAAATCCAAGTTACCGAACCCATTTACAGTGGACTTTAACAAGACTGTGGTTTCCTGTGGGCAAGATCTTTCTAAAGAGTTACTCCTGTTAGGGTCCCAGGAAATTATGTTCTGAAGTATAATAGAAATTTCTGGGGGGCGAATTTTTGAAAGAAAATTGGAAGCTAGCTATTTTTAGAATCTTGCGGTTTGTAAAAAATACACTTCAGATAGGAGAAAACAAAAATATTTTAACTTCTAGTTAAGAGGTGTGTGAAAGTTGCTTGACAGTCTGTCAGGGGGTGATTCAGGTAATTATAAAATGGCATAAAGTAGAGTTACTGCTGTCTTCTAATTTCTTTGGTTTTTCATTGATTTCTCAGGTGAAGGAATAATGGCAAGATTTTTGTCTTTGTGATATATAAGCAGAATATCTTGATTTCTGATTTTTCAACTTCTCTTCTGCTTAATAAACATAGAATTGAAATTTGATTGATTGGAAGTGATGGCTTTGTTTCCATTTCCCCTAATGTTCCTTATGTGACTATGAAGTTGCTAGAGTGAAGAACCTAGTTCACCTTATAGTTATATATCTGAAAAAAGAATACTAGCCCTTTTGACTTTTAATGTACGTAATGTTTTCATGGTAAAGCTAAGAAGGATACTTAGAAGAAAACTACCTCCACTCATCCAAAAAGTGCAAAGTATTTGCAAAGCCAAAATTGATGGTTACAGTTTTGCCTATGGTTTTGCAGTGAGATGTGCCACAAATATTCACAGCCTAAATAACTGTGACTTCTAAAAACTTTTAATTTGTTACGCGTGTATCTTTCTCTAAGCTGCGCTGCTACAGTGAGTGATGGAAAGCAAATAGAGTACCAAATGCATTTAATGGGCAGTGAAGGGGCTTCTTAGATTAGATTAGGGCTTCAGCTGGCCTTTATGCCCTTTTTAGGCAATGAGAATTTCTGACACTATGTTTTAAAACCTCATTTTTAGCACGTTATGTATGAGTGTCATATATGCTGTGGTTTCTTTTGCAGGGAATGTGTCTGAAAGTTGTTATCAAGCAGTCTGTAGTACAGATATGCTAATTAGTGCTACCATCATAACTTTTTAAAGGTGTCTCAAGTTAAGTATGCTTTCATATTTTAAATATACTTTTGATTGATAGGTATTAGAAAATGTGTCCAAAACTCTTCAAATTTAAATTTGCCAGGCCACGTGTCATTCTCTTTCTCTTGCTGAAGTAAAGACTTAGTTACAGAAATAGTGGGTTTTTTTGCTCTGCTGCTTTATTTTTCACTTCTTATGTGTGTGTGAACACTGTACCTCAGGATTTGAAATGGCTACTTTGATCATATTATAAAAACAGGTGAGGCTAAGGGCTATGACCTGAACTTTAATTAATGTATTATAAAGGATGAGTAGTTTTCCAATGTAAAACATACCAATGCAGTAAAGAAAAGGTAATTAATTCTGGGTGACGGCATTTTACAGCAATTCATGGAGAGGAAATATAGCCTACACGAATGTAATGTGTGGTTATGCAGTGCTACTCTCCGTCAGAGTAAGTCTGCAGTATGCTGCCTATTCTGCTCCTTATAATTACCCCTTAAAACTACACCTTTTAATATTTGAATGCAAATGGGCATGCAGAAATGTGGGAAATAGCAGCATGTTGATGTAGGATTCAGAAGGTGCAGCCTGGTCACAGGCAATGCTGTGTAATTGGCTGCAGGAAATGTTTTTCTCTTATGATAGCGTGTAATGGCTTAAACTGTAAGGAAGGGGAAAAACATTAAGGCTCTAGGAATGAGAAGGTTGCATGCAGATTGCGCGGCCCCTGCTGCAGCTACCAGCTAATTGTCCTTCAGCTGTTATGCACCTGGAGAAACAAAACCCACGAGACCATGAAAACTGTCGGAGGTGGCACACTAGACCATAGAGACACGCCTTTGGTTACTTTGGGAACACGGCTGTGAAAAACATAGGTGTGCTACCCTCTGCATTTTCTGCAGCCGTTAAACTCTGATGTTCTCAACTCCGTGGCCTCTTGCAAAAGGTCCAGGCTCTTCCAACATGATTGGTTTTGAGTTCAGAGGAAGCCAGACACCATTCTTTTGATGTAATTTACCATGAAATTGAGAATTCCTCCTGGTTTTTGTTATGTTCATGGGAACTTTACCTAAATTGGTGGTTCAGCTTTGGAATTATGTTCTATCGATGTCACCTATGGTTTACAAGTAAGCTCTAGTGTTTATATCAGTAATATTTTTTAAAAGCATACATTCTGAAAATAGCTGTAAATATATTCCTCATTCAGGTGTAGATGTTGGTAGGAACTGAAAATTTACTGTTCCTGCAAAGGCAATTGTTAAAACCGGATTTACTTTAGAGGTAAACTTGACTGAATGGCATGGATGAACCTTTATGTGCTCATGTCTGTCTGTTCAGTGTCTCTGAATTAAAGTATCACCATACGTAACTGTGACGGCCAGGGAGACCTTTCTTGATGTAAACAACTGAGGTGAAGGGATTCCGTAAGCAGGATTCCATGGTATAGCATGTATATATGGCCCTTCTTTTCCTTTTACTTAAAAGGCAATAACTTTAAATTGATCTGTTTTTAAAATACAGTGTAAGTGCAGGTTTGAAGCAATGCAGTTAGTACATGTGATGTGAGCATCTGAACTGGAATGTGGGCTATTAGAGAACAAATAATGTTTGCTGTATGTCTGATCTCTGTGTTGCATATTTCTATAGGGCCACAAAAGGGGTTAGGGAGGCTAATGAGCCTGAATGTAGGGATCTAGCTTTTGCTCCCCAAATATATTACGGACACTCTTGCTCACTTACAGAGAGTCATTCAAGTTACCTTTTTTGTGTGTGTGCTCGACTTGAAGCACAAATCTGGGTGAACAAAAGGAGAATCCCAGAACTTCTTACAGAAAAATGAGAGAAACCAACCTGTCTGCTTCAACAGCGTAGTGATTAACTGTGTGTTTTTTCCAAGCCAAATGCTCAAAAATTGTGACCGTTAGAAAAAACGTTCCCTGTGCTCTCCATGTCCATGAGAAGTACTGTATAGACTATACATCTTTTGAAGCACCTCAGTTTCCTCCAAGTCTAATATTTAGTGAGCAGGTATGCAGTCTGTTCTGTATTTTTTTTTTTTTTTTTGGTAGTAGGATTGACTGTAGTGCTGCTACTTGGGAGCTGTATTCCCTAAGCCTTTCATCAAGGTATTTTAATTTTCCTCAGACAGAACAGGATGTTACTTCAATGGTAGTGCTATAATTAACTCAGAGGCAAACTTCCTTTGTTCCCTCTGTAGGTAATACACAGCGATATGAGTCAGTAATAACCAATTATCTTGTTTGTAGTGAAGTTCTCCTTCACTGATCTCCAATAGCAGCAGCAGCAACAACAATAAATGTACATCATCTTAACTCTTTTTGACTGCAGTATCTGTAAAAACCAATGGCGTTAAGCTGGACTCATAAATACTAGGTATAATTGGTATCTCCTCCCTCCCACCCCACTGCCTGCCCCGCTCTGTGGGTATTATTGATGGAAAAGGGCATGGCAGGACAGGATTCCTGTCAGTGAAGAAGCAAGGTGTAGACGCCTTCCAAGCGCTCTGTCATAGAGTAACACATAAATATGAATACCGGATGAAAAAGCTTTCCTTTCAGAGCTGTATTGGGAGGTTGAAGATGCTTTGTAGTTGGGATGTTTACCTTACCTATGGTTGTTTTCTTTTTAAAACTTTTTTTTTATAGATCTGGTTAAGAATAAGGCTTGGGTTTTGAAGTGTTTGAGCAACTTGCTACTGCCCAAGTCATGACGCTCCCATTTCGAAAGGACTTGGACAAGTACAAAGATCTCGATGAGGATGAAATTCTTGGCAAACTTTCGGAAGAAGAACTGAAACAACTGGAAACTGTTTTGGATGATCTTGACCCTGAGGTAGGTATTAGCCAAGAGAAGGTTTTTTTTTTTTTTTTTCATTTGTTTAGAAACTAGTCTGAAATAAATTGACATTCTTTTTTTCACTTGAACAATATACTTTTGGGCAGAGCTTTTTCCTAGTCTGCTAATGATCTTATTTACAGATATATATGTGTATATAATGTGTCAACTGTTTATTTCCTGTTTGCAACATGAATGCAACTGCAGTAGAGGAAAACAGAAGAAAGGATTGTCAGGAGGAGCTTTCTGGGATTTATTTATAAATAAAAATTGCTCTTAGTCTGTTCTTGAAAAGAAAGTTTATTTAGAAATGCCTGTTTAACTTTCTGTTTTCCAGTGTGGTCTGGTAAACAGACCTTTTGCATCCATTTTTATTTTGTTGCTTCTACTGTTGGAGTTTGATGGGAGAGGGAGGGTGCTAACCTCTTCTAAAGATTCCTGGTCCTGTATCTGGTAGCCTACGTCTGTTCCTGTCCTCGTGCTGACTTTGCAAAGAGTGAATGATTATGTCAGCATGGGGTACTGAATAAGGAATATTTTACCTTTCTGTTATAAAGAGCTGAGTTATGCCCTCTACTGATACTGTAGCTATTGTCAGAGTCTAAGACTTGTGTTTTCACTTCTTGATTCTCTGTTCTTGCTTTAATAAGACTGGGATTAAGTTTAATCTTGATGTTCACTTAAGAATATTGTGATCACCTATTTTGTTGCATTGCAAGATGTTCTTGTTATTTTAATTGGCTTTGGCTTTATAGACATTTTAACAGAGGAGAACTGGCAAAAGTGGTTGGTTGTCTTTTATGGTAGTCTGAGTTTCTATACATTCCGTTCTTTCCATACTAATATCCTCTTTTTTTTTTTTTTTTCCTTTTCTGTAGCTGGAAAACCTTGATGATAGCAAAAAAGCACCCCACCTTGAGCGAGGTCCAAAGTAGAAATGCTCTGTGTTAAATGCCAGACAATAGTATAGGCAGTTTTTTTAAAGACTTAGAAACACATGGATGTAAGTCACAGAGGAAGCAGTCTTCTTGCCGAATGTCTAAACTCTAAATAGCTGAGTTTTATTTACTACTACTCATTTAAACAGTGTTCGTTCTAGAAAAGAAATGCAAAGTAACTAGCAAGTGTAGTGCTGGGATCTATTGTACTTAAAGAATTGCTTCAGTCCTATTCAGAGTGCAGTGTGCTCTATTTTTAATTATATTCTTGGTATCTAAAGAATAGATTACCTTGCATCCCTCCCTGCCCCCAAAATAAGGAACTTGGCAAGGGATCAGAGATTGCCTAAAAAGGATGATGTATTGGGTTTGAACCTTGGGGAGAGGGAGAAGGAAGAGGGAAATGAAACTAAACAAGTGTTCACTCAGACTTTCTAAGCTGTACCTGTTTGCTCCATTTTGTTTTGCAGAACGCACTTCTGCCCGCAGGCTTCCGACAGAAAGACCAGACTGCTAAAAAGGCTTCAGGTCCTTTTGACAGGGAACGACTCCTTGCGTATTTGGAGAAGCAGGCTCTTGAGCACAAAGACAGGGAAGACTATGTACCTTTTACAAGAGAAAAGAAAGGTAACGCCACCCTTTCCGGTGTAGGTGGTTATGAAATCTCTGAAGTGGACTAGCCAGAACTACTGTGAACCAAAGTTTATTGAAGCACTGGCAGCTCTAATGCTTTTTAATTCACGGCGTTTCCAAACGAGCGCTACTGTGCAGAGGCAGGATGCTTCCTGTTCAAGCATTTTGTGGCGCTGGGGCTGGCGTGCTGGTTGCATGTAGCACAGGAAGGAAATAAGACTCAAAGATTTTATCAAAGATTGCAAAGTTCTGATGGGGATGGTGTCCTCAAAGTAAGAGCTACCCCTGATTTGTGTCAAAAATAACAAATGCTGTCGTTGTGCCTGTGGCTTATGCCCTGTGGTGCCGAGTACAGACAGTAATGTTTATAATACTACATTGAATTTTAAAAATAGCAGTAGGTTGATATCATGGTGGATACTCACTAATGTTCAAAGACGCTGTAGGCTGGCAAGGCCAGGCAAGTTGTGTGTGCAATCATGTTGTCTTTCTAGTATCCTTACTGAGAGATTTAATAAGATTGCATAGTTATTATTAAATAATTACATAGTTAACATCATAAGAAGCTTTGAAATCTGGCAGTGGTTTGTGGTCTAAAACCCACGGAAACATTGACCCAATGAGTGGACACATTATTAAAGCCTGGGATTTTAAATCTTTGTTTTGGATCTAGTCTTCTCATTGACTTGATGGGAAGCGTTTTCCTTTTCAGGAGAAAATTGAAAAAGAATGTGCATGTTAAATGTTGTAAGAATAGAT